TGCATTTTATTTTCAATACATATGGCACACTTCATATATTCGGTTTCTGTTTCTTTAGGGATTCCTTCTAATAGCTGATCTTTGCACATAATATCCAGATATTTAAAATTTACATGTCCAAATGAACAGTGCAATTTTTCTTTTAACGTTAACTTACTGTTGGTCAAATTTGTAAATATTTTGCTATTTTTAACATAGCACTTTACTTTATATGATCTTTCTTCTTTCTTTGCTATTGCTACTAATGAACCATTGACATCATAAATTTTAGAGAACTTTTCTTTTGAAACTATTTTATGATTATCAGTAATCTTCAAATAATTTAATAAATTTGCTTTCATTTCTTTTACATAAAATACATTCTTCAATGTTACGATAGATTCAGAGTTATATACAGGAAAAGAAACTATTATATTGCCAACATTTGTAGCTTTCAAAATCCTTCCGTCACCGACTTTCACTTGAATAGGATCCTTCAAAGTGACTTGCTCTTTGAAATAATATTTTAATATCTCTTTGTTTATAATTTGGTCTTTGCATCCGCTATCCAGTAACCAATTGATTTCATTTTTATTCATCACAGTATTTGCACTGGAACTTGACATGTTACTTTCGATAACAGTGGTGTGAAAACTTGCCTTGATGACTGTTTATTCTGTGGTTAGAGTATGCTTCGCGTCTACGATGTCCACTAAAAGCATGACTACATTCTCGATTGTTTGAAGCACCACAATAATTTGTGGAGCCATTACATGATAGTTCCTTTGATGTACATTCCAACAATTCTTTTTAATGTGACCAGGTTTTCCACAATTATAACAGACATTCCCTTGTGGACCCAACTTGCTTGTTTCAATTTTGAACGCATTTGATTTTTCTGCTGGTGCACAATCTTCATAATAATTTTCCTATTCAAGTGATTTTAATTTGCTTTTGCTTTTTAGGTAATCGACTGTTCTGTCCTTCTCTGGTATTACATCTATTAAGTCACCAATGTGACTGTAATTTGAAGGTAATGCTTTTAGCATATGGTTCAATTTTTCTTGTTCCGTCACGGTGGCGCCGGCATGTTTCAGCTCGTTCACATACTTCTCAAAATCATCGAAAAATATATTTACATCAGGATTTTTTTAATGACTTTCAGTTTTACACACACATGTTTTACAATTCTAAGTTATTTCGACAAACAATTTGTAGAGATGTTGAAGTTTTTAAATACATTGCATCAAATTTCGTAATTATATCAAATGCAGTCTCACACTCATGAATATATTCCAATTGCTTGTTTATGGCACCGTAAATGTAATTTGTAGCTTGGATATCCTTTTCTTACCATTTTTCCATGTCATCGTTTTCACTGACTTTTCGCTGAACCACATCTTTACATTTTTTAAATTGAAGAAATACACTTTCCAATTAAAATAGTCCGAACCATCAAATAGCGGTATGCCGATATCGCTGCTTCTTGTACATGCCATTTTTACGCTAGTACCGGTAACTTTTAAAACAAATTACAACTACTAAATTCTTCATTCATATTCACAAACCACGAGAACTGCTACCATGTTAAATAAACCGATATCATATCAAGAAGCAAGTCGAAAAATAAGAAACATATCTTTCCACACTTTTTTATTGAAACTTAACAACATGTGCACAACATTACAACGACATCCATAGCTCGCACACAGAGAAGAAAACTTAGTGTTGCCAACATGGTAAAGATAAATGTACCGAACTAACACAGTAATCTATTTTGATGTCTTTATTGCTTTTGTTGATTTTTGCATACGAGATCTTCTTCTAATGTATTTGAAGCATTAGATTTATATTCAGTAGAATTTAATTAGATTTTAGATGTACATAGTGTTGCAAAAACAACATAATCCTTTACATTTAATGACTGGTGTATTTTAATCTGGGGCAGTAGGCTAAGTGTAAAAAAAGAATTTTAAAGAAATAGCAATAATGGAAGTTGAGAATGGTAACAATGTCTGTTCGGTGGTGAAGCAGTAAGATATTGTAGAACACTTTTGCAGAAGAAGCTGAAAAGAGGAAAATGACTTATACAAAGATCTATCTACTTTGTTTTCAGCAACTCAAAGTATTGCTGTTCTTTGTATCAGAACTATGCAAAATGTTTTGGTACCTGTTTCAAAGGAAGCATTTATGTATAGCGTAGCAAAACTGGCAAGCAAATATTAAGTTGTTTTCTGAGGGGGAGATAATTTTCCAGGTAATCTGAAACTTTTTTAAATCAAAATTTACCTATATCCAGACAAGATGGTTCCTTCCCCCACAAAAAAAAGCCAGTTTTTGGATGTTAGGACTTATTCAGAATGTACCAAATTTGAAAATTATTCACACAATCTATAGAGAGTCTTCATTTGGGCTTTCTTTTTTAATCTAAAAATCATTTTCAGTCAACTGCAGGAATTGATAAAAATTTTAATTTCAAATGTATGGTTCTTTAAAAAGCAATGCAGCAAGTGAACTTGGTGACAAGGTCATATCGTTAAGCTGGCTTAATTGTAAAAATCTAACTTACTAAACTTTTTTTTTTTGGCAAAGACATTAGCCCAGAAGTGCTATTGGTCTCAAAATGGCATTTTGTGTTGAACCACTAAAAGCGTTGTATCACTTTTCAAATTTTTGCCACCAAATATTATCACCCTGTTTTATATTTAAAGAAATTAAGTAATGAAGAATCTTGCGTGAATGTATGTATGTTTCCTGAATTGGGAAAAAGCAACAGTACATACAGCTATCAAACTGGTAGTAATATAGTCCTCCACCCAAATATGAGCACCTTGAAGACTGAATTTGGAATTTGTTTTATTGTCCATTTCATATTTTGTAGAACTTTAATAAAATTTTGATTAACGAACTCAACGATTTCAAACTGAGCAATGGCAACACTGTTGAAAAACATTTTTATCTCCAGCACACAAGATAGTCTATCGCAAATTTTAAAGATATGCTGTTTTTAAACATTTTTAGCCCAAAGGGACATTAACTCAAATGCTCTCAAAATGTGTATGTGAATGTAAATAATAATAATAATAATAAAAAAAAAACACTTTAGGTGTTATATAAAAGCTGAAAGCTTTCAGATTTATTTTTTTACACTTTTGGTATGAAAATTTATTTCAATTGGTTCAGAAGAGCACAATAAAAATGCTTGAGGTGGATATCATTGTTCAAGAAGGATCATTTGAACCTGTTCTGATTACAATGCTCTCAGTACTATTAAATTCTATCATTGCAAGACCATTCAGAAATGTACAATTTCCTTTAAGAAAGCTTTCATGTGCCTAGAAGTGGAAAATGACAAGATAAAGAAAAGGTGAAATTAAAAGGAGACTCCAGTAGTTATGAGTTTTCATATGTTTTGTTATTATAAGCTGAGGGATTAGAAACACCAAAGCAACAGAGGAGGTGGGAGAAAGAAAAGAAAGAAAAAAAGAAAAAAAAAAAAAACATGATTAGTTTGAAGGGCGTGTTTCATGCAAGGTCTTCCATGTTATTTTTTACTTCTGTTTCAGAAGAATGGAGTGGTTTGATTTGATTGTTTCAGAAGAATGGAGTGATTAATTTGATATTGAAACTTACAAGAGACAGAAATGTATCCCAAAAGTGTTTGAAGTATAGGAGGGCAATTTCTACCTATACCATATTCAGGAGGGGTAAAAATGCATGAAATGTAGTGTGATTGAAGAAATAAAATTGAAAATAATTTCAAAAACTGAAATTGTGAAAACACTTGTAGAGACATTAGGTTAATTGGAAAAGCTGGAGAGATGAAAAATGAGCAAACGCCTTCGCCGGGAATTGAACCGCGGACCTCGGAAACGGAAACCACGAAATATGCACCCAGCATGCAGACCACCACACCACGAAGGCATGCCAAGAAGGCAGGAGAGATACCTTATATAAACCCCCTTTTAAAGGGTGACTGGGGTTTTTAGGGGACCCAGTCGCCAAATTCTGGGTGGGAAGAATCATCATCCGCCACCCTTTTAGTTCAGGCACCACTGTATTGACATTAGGTTAATTGGAAGCATGAAAGATGAGAAATGAGCAACACTTTCACTGGGAATCGAACCACGGACCTCTGGAATATGCGCCCAGCTTGCAGACCACCACACCAAGAAGGCAGGAGAAATACCTTATACACTAACGAATTTGTTATAGAGGAAACAATGTTTATCATATAATTATTTCAGATGTTGCTCCAGTGATACTGAAACAGCAACTCTGAATGAAAGCTTGCCAACTAATATATATTTTTTGTAAAAAATTTGCTGCAAAAAAAAAAAAAAAAAAAAAAAAGTATGACTAAAATAAAAGTAAGACTCATTTAATTAAAAAAAAAAAAAAATCATAAAGTATTTTGTTATATAAACTATTCATCTTTTCATTAGTAAAATATTTTGTTATGTAAACTGTTCAGCTTTTCATTATATTACATTTTAGCAATGTTAATGAGAATATATATTGCAAAATGTATTTTTTACCTTTTTAAATTTTACACCTTTAGGTTATTTATGCCACTTTGTTAGAAATTTGTCTATTAACGAAACATAAAGAAGATAAAAATTTTTATGTAAAACTGAGTATTTTGTTTGCAAGCTGTAACAGTTATAATAAATAAGCATTTAAACATTTTTTTTTTTTTTTCTAATTAGAATCCATTTTATATTAGAAACCCTCTAGAAGTTTTGATGATGATTGATTTAGTGGCCTACTACTGCTGCATAATGCCTAGTTGCATACTGTTGTTTATATAATGTGCTTAAACATTTAAATGCAAGTGGGATGGATGTAAATCCTTGGGCCCCTAATTACTACATGTATATTTTATTTCCCATTTACTTATTCCTACAATTGTTCACTCTGTATTAGGAAATGTATTTCATTTTAAATAATTCAGTCATATGATAATATCATAACTGGTGTTTTATAAAATGTTAATTATTATAATTTACATAATTTTATAGGTGTGGAGTTTATTAATAAGAGATGTGATTATGAAAGTGAAGTCTTCAGATGTCCTTCTTGCTTTTATGTTACTGAAAGAAACTGTGACCTTCAAGCACATTTGCTAGTTCATCAGAAATATTCTTACATTTGTGACACTTGCAACAGGCCTTTTATTAGAAGAGATTATCTTAAATTACATTTAAGAATTCATTCTGGAGAGAGACCTTATATTTGTGAAGTGTGTAATAGAGGTTTCACTCAAAAAAGTGCTCTTAATACTCATTTGAGGATTCATACCAATGAATATCCATATCAGTGCACTATTTGTGGCAAAAAATATAGACACAAAATTGGATTGAAAAAGCATCATTGTGTAGAATGGTAAATAGAAAATCATGATGTATTATGATGATTATATGAAATATCATCATTTATTTTACGAATCAAAGATAAAATATATAAAATATATTTCAATATGGAGCTTTGAATTATTTTTAAGTTTATTTTATTTATGTGGTAGTTTCTGCTTCATAAATTGAATTTCTAAGTAATTTTAATATTCTCTGGGAAGAGTAGAATTTTGATATTTTTTTATCCCTCTGTTAGAAATTTTTTTAAGGCTCCTGTTAAAATTCTTAAGTTTTCAAAAAATATATTTAGAGTGTTTCAAAAGAGTGGACCATATATTATATGCATTCAAAATTGATATTTTATGTGATAAATTTGTCGTACATTGTGGGAAAGAAGAAGGAGATAGGTTGTTCTTTTATCTGAATATTATAGAATGTAAGTGTTCTTCATTGTGGAATGTGAAGTGCAGAGGATGACTACATTATGCTTTGCTTCCTAACCTCCAAATTTTACTTCTTTGTGTCTTTGGATTTGTTAGATGCTGTGTTTTGTGGTACCTAAAACAAGAACTCGGTCAGTGAGTTATTGAAAACATGCATTATAAATGCATTGCACGGCATGTATGAATAGGAAATTAGCTATTGCTGTAATACATGTTGACCTAACAGGTGCATGCATTAAATGCCTGACATTGCAAATTATCATATTTTCCTTATCAGAGATGTATGGCAATTTTTTTTCAGTAATTAAAAAAATAATGATATTATAAACAAATAAGATACATTCTTCTTTTAGAAACAGTTTAATTACTTTTTTAATTAAGTTTCTCTGTGGGAAAATTTGGGAGGGGGAAATATAAGATTCGCAATTGTAATATGTGTGTGGACAATCTAATTGTCATTGCCAAACATATTTTCTTTCATTGGCCTCCCGTTCTTTTTGTCTCACTGACCAGCAGCCAAATTGTGAAATTGTTGAACACTAGTAATTTGACCCAGGCTCAGCTTATGTGACCAAACTATTTGTATGAGAGTTTTTGTGTTTTCCTGTTGTGTAGTAAAATACAAGCAAGTTTCTTAAAAGCCCTCCTTCATCGAAACAGATAGCCCTCATGTGTTTAGCTGTAAACCAAATAATCTAATTCAATCCACTTATATTTTTCTTTTCTTTTCTTTCTTTTTTTGTATAGCCTCTTATGTCATTTCATGTACAAGTTTGTTGTTTTTGATGTTAGCTTCAATAAATTCAATTTTTATGGTTGGCACTTATTTTTCTATGAACGTTGGTAAAATATATTTACTTTTGCTTATTAATATTTTGAAGAGAAAAGATTTGAAGTATTGTTCTATTGTGTTTAATTATACAATCTTCATATGATGTCATTTCATGTAGAAGTTTGTTATTTTTTATGTTAGCTTCAATAAATTCAATTTTTATGGTTGGCACTTATTTTTCTATGAACATTGGTAAAATATATTTACTTTTGCTTATTAATATTTTGAAGAGAAAAGATTTGAAGTATTGTTCTATTGTGTTTAATTATACAATCTTCTTTATTTTGGATTTATTTTGCAGCTGTGGAATTGAATTGGTTTGATAGTTTTGATTTTTTTTAAAGTTTTTTTTAAATATTTATGTATATATTTTAATGAAATGAGGTAGTACAGTTTATTTTCTCCTAATATTTGACCTATTTATGTTTTATTTTATCTGTGTCTTAATATTTTTTCCTGTGCCTATAACTCAACTTTTAAATTTTGTGTTTCTTGCAATGTTAAGTATTTTATTTAAGGTAACTCTTTTAAGGGTAAAAAAAAAAAAAGTGTGGGGGTTGTGATTTTAATGGTTTCATTATACTAGAATGTCTGTTAGTGTCATTTTTATAATGAAGCATGTTTGTTATGTTATATATATATATATAAATTCAGATTTTGAATAATTTTAGATAATTTTGATCAGTTTATGTAGTTAAGTTTATACAGTTAAGTTTTTTTTGAGGGGGCATGTCATAATTTGGAGAAGTTTGTTAGCTGCTCTTCTCTTTTCATTATCATGTAAAATTCTAAAACCCATGTTTGTGTTTATAAGACTGGTGAATAAATTCCATTTTGGCAATGAATTCAACTGCTTTCATTAATCCATTTAAGGGTATTACTGTAAGCTCTCTTTCATTTTACTTCCTTTAAGTATAAATAGCTCAGTTCCTGTTAATGTTATGAATGAAGTTCAACTATTGCAAAACTAGCTGCATTATGCAATTATTTTATAATAAAATATAGTGGCTGCTTGCGATTTATATCATCTCAACCAGGTAAGTTTTGTTTAAAGGCAGTTTAAAGCAAAATATATATTTCAATTGCTTTGGCTTATTTAAGAAAAACAAATCTCTGCATGAAGGCCAAAGGTCAATGTTGTTATTGTTGATAATGGAAAAGAAAATTTCTAAAACAATTGAATTTCAGTTACTAGTCCAAATGCTACGTAGTCATTATTTGTGAAATAACAAGAATGAATTTTATGAAAACTCATTAAGCCAAAGGTCTATCTATGCATTTTATGATATCTTGTAGCTGTAAGCATTTAAATTGTTACAAATTGGTAATAGATCGACATATTTCAAGGAGAAAGTGTGTACAGCAGTTATTAAAAGAATTGCATTTAATTATACATATAATAAAAAAAAGGTTGAACATAAAAAACTGCATGCAAATGCAAATAATCGAATTAAATTCTCTAATGTGCAAAAAATATGAAATAATGAAAATGCTTTTATAGTTATTAAAGGATCTGTTTTGGTAAACATCCATGCTTAGTTTTTTTTTTCGAGGGGGCGCCAAGAAGTTTAAGCATAAAAAAATTTAGCAAAATGCTGCTACGTAATTATGCAGATCGAATGGATCAGTAATTTTTCTTCTTTAAAATTGTGACTTTTCATGGTACCTTTTGAATACCTAAGATGTATAATCATATTTTGCAAATCACAGAGAAAGCCCAAAATTGCCCAAAGCGGAAAGTGACCAGCCAAATCGGGTAATGGCCATCATTTCTGTAAACTTACTGCCCAATATCTGATCTTCTTGATTTCGGGGTTTGGCCGGCCAGTTTGCGAAATGGCAGGGGACAATCAGTCAAAGTTGGAAGAAAAAGTAAAGAACTGATTACTTTACATTTTATTAATTACAGATGGTGAAAATCAATTACGATAATGTTAAGTTTATAAAGTAAAGTAAATTACCTATAGCTTTCATCATTTATTACAAGATGAATTTGTATGGCATTTCTAATTACATAACAGTTGGTTCTTTCTGCATTTACAGTGACATTTTGTGCACTTAGTACTGCATTTGCATTAAGTGTAGCCTTGGTCGCTGGTTATTGGTTTTGTAGACACGATGGTTCATAGTAATTTTTCTTCTGTACCCACGGATTCCAGTTGGAGCATTTTCTTATGGACAATAGAAAACCCACGTCTGGAGTACAGTTTTTGGAGAACCCCATGTACTGTTCCTAACTTGTAGTAGCTATCCTCGATTTTCAAGACAACTGCAATAACACTTCTTGAATCATCTCAACCTCTGTCAACATCTGGTACAGGGACATGTACATTATCTCCAACTTTTGCCGGTGGGAATTTTGCATCTGGATTTTTAAGCATCTTCACAGCTTGGCCTTGAAAACTAACATGAGGTGTTGAGGTCTTCCTGATTTTTTATTTATTGTAATTTTGCAATTTTTATTTTTTTGTTTATTGTAATTTTTTTTTTTTTTTTATTGTAATATAGCCTGCAAGCAGTTTTTCCTCCGTACCCTTCATCTGCTTCATTGCTTATTTCACAAACTGCATGGACATCTTTGTCGCAGGATCCACAAGAATGGTCTGAACTACACTCTTTTTCACAGACTACACAGAATTGTTTGTTATAGTTATTGTCAGGCAACTGGTCTGAACTTTGCGATGCTTTCACCTCCATGGTAGCAGCTTTACCATTTCCGGAGGCAGTTCCTGCATTTATAACATCCTCCATGTCTTGTTTGTCCTTTTCAAGGTCTTTCTCTGTAACTAAAGTATCGAAAACATCTCTGGACAGATTTGAGGTACTCAGCCACACTTTTGCTTTGCAGTCAAACATGGCCTCATATGGTGACTACCAAATTCCTTGGTAAAAAGAACAGTTTTTTATGAATTGAATAAATTGGAGACTTTCAGCCCAATGCGTTGATTTGTTTGTTTGCATCCATGTTATCTTTGTATTCTGATTTGCAAGTTCAATGAAACCTTAGCTTTAGCTATGCCTTGGTTTTTCATGTACCAGTTTCAGATCAGGCCACATAGTTCATTTATAACTTGGTTCACAAACTCTTTCCCATTATCTGATTGAAGAATGCTTGGATCCCTTATAGCACTGAAGATGTTAAGTAGCTGGTAAGCAACTCCTTCTGCTCTTTTGGTTTTGAGAGCACACAATAATATGAACTTGGTTAAATGATCCTAATGATAGAGTATAAATTTGTACTCGTCATCAGGGGTACTTTGCATGTCTAGAAGATCTACCTGGCATTTTGGGTTAAATTCTTTAAATATCAAAGGTTTAGAAACTAAGACCTCTCTTATGATTAGACAACTTAGCTTGCACAAATGAATATATATTGTAATGACTTCTTTGGTGATATTTTTGTACATAGTTTTGAGCTCCTTTCCTTTTACATCCATGTGTGACCTCCATGTCCAATTTTCAAGTGAATATCGTGCAGACGCTGAATAATTCTTTTGCTTGCACATAATACAAAATAATGCTATTGTCTCCTTATACTAGCACAATAAGTCTTTCCTTACCATCAACATCAAGAACATCATATTTTCTTAGACGACAATAGTCAACGCTTTCTTTTTTCTCCTTTGCTTTACCTGTTTAAAGTCCTATGTAAAAGTGCAGTATTTCTCTCTGGTGAGGATCTCGATATTACTTGCTTTCCCTTGCAGCAATGTGTTCAAATTATCCAAGAACATGATTTTCTTATAAAATGTTTATTCCTCATTTTTCTGTGCAATAACTTCACCCAGCATATTAGTCACATCAGAAGTAGCCATGGGACAGCCTATGGAAGAACACATCAATACTTGAATCTGAAATGCCTTTACTTGAAAGAAAGCCCAGTAAGTGTCCACTTGCAGATTTAGCACTTTACTATGCAGAACTGCTTGCTGTCGTAGACAATAATCCTATCAGCTATTAGGCCTATTCTCAGCATAATTACCATTTGCTCTTTCCAGCAGCAATACGACTGTCATCACACCCGGCAACATATGCTATATGTTCCTTAACTACCACATATCATTTCAATTGAAAGTATTCACATATGGACATTACAAATATGAGGAATACATATTTACAATGAAATTGTGACAGTACTAAGAAATCACAATTCTTACTGCTGCCACAGTAGTAAGAACTAATGTTAAGACCTTCTCTGAAGCGTGGCACCCTCCTTTGTAACACACGCACACTGTCACACAAGAAGCAACAGATGGGCCACCTACTGGACAGTTTTCCATTACCACATTGAGATTTAACCAAGGATTCCTGGCCAGTTTGCAGAATGCCCAGCCAAAGTAGTTTATACAATATTAATTGTAAGTACATCGGACTTGGCCACGCCTTTTGGCTAAAGTGCGAATTGGCCAGTCAATTCAGGAACTGGTTGGACTTCGGGCTTTTAGCCAAAACATATGTTGTATATATTTCCTCTCCATTTGCTGATGCATAAATAATGCCTTTCATTCATTTGTAATATATGCAGCCAAAACTTTGCTCAAAAAGATTGTCTTTCAAAAGCATTTAGCTATTTATTTTGAAAAATGACAGTATGATTGTGACGCACATCTTGACACTCATTTGAAACTTCATTCTAAAAAGAGCTATAATCAGTCATGTGACATGTTAAAAAACACTTAAACAACAAAGGTCAGATCTTGACATTCATTCATAAAAGACTCTTGTGACAAGAAATATAAACGCGTAAAGAGCATGCGGATGATAACGTTGATTAGGAACTTTTTCCCCTCTTTAAATTCATGATAATTTTTTATACATTTAAAAACTTAAGAATTGTCATCGTATGTTTACAGATGTGGTATATTTTAAAATGTAGTTTTCTCTTGCTCTTGAAAATTCTTGTGTGTATGAATAAAATTCATATTAATAAAATCATTCAAAATTCTTGATAAATGCAAGCTTTCAGGCCATTCATATCCACAATGGAATTTTTCCATTGTAAGAAATAACTAAGAATGGAAAAAAGTGCATTGGCCTTTATGTTTCACAGATGTGAGATATTTATTTTTAAATATGATGGAGCACCTTTCTAAAATATTTGTATCAAGATATAAATAAAATGCTAAGAGATAATTTTGATGTTTTTGAGTTAAAAAAAAAGTGTTAGATACAGTAAATTTTAATATTTCTTTGAAGTCCTTTAGTCTGTGATGAAAGTTCCAGCCAAAACGATTGGCTGTCTGATTTTTATTTGAATCTCTAAGTATAGAATTACATTTGTTTCCCATTTGCTTTCCTTCTAAGTAAATTACTGCTTTGAATTGAAAATGTAATTTTGAGGTGGAAATTAGATGGAATTTGAGATGGTTTTCATTTTTAGTAAAATAAATCTTTTTTTTAAACTTGAATTTTCTTACTTTTTTTTGGTAAATTTTTGGGGAAACATTTCATTTTTTGCTTTTTATTATTTTTAATAAATAATTTTCCTGTTCTGGGAAAATAAGAAATTTTCCCATTTGAGAGAAATAGTAGTTGGTTGTGCTCAGGTAATCGAGTCAAATAAATGCACAGCTGTGTCTTAAATAATTAAACCTTTTGGTAATTAAATAAATGTACAAATCTTCATATAGAATTAATTTACTATGAAATAATACCATAACAATTTTTCTTCCATACCATTTAACTTCCATTTTGATCAACACATCTCAAATGTGAGATTTCATGTTCTGTATTCTTAATTTTGGTGAATTAGTCCTCAGAATTTTCTATGGTGACTACTTTACTTAAAATTCTCAAAAGCATTAAACAGAAATCAGGGGTATTGTCTTAAAGTATAGGATGCATG